TCCCAAAAAAAAGGACTTCTTCCCGAAGAATTTCTTTATCATTCAGATTTAACGAAGAGACTTGTGGATGTGGTGGTAAAGATAATGACTTCTTAGATCTTCAGGAACTGCAAGTATATCCGCTTTTGAAACATTTTCTTTTCTGATTGATGGATAGGATGCAGTTGGATTTAAGGTAGAATAGTTATAGCCAAAAGTAGTTTGGATGTTGGGATTCAGGGTAAAAACATCTGTTACTTGAGTTGAAGCTTTCGTGAGTGTCTTCTTTTTCGAATCATAAAAGGTACTTCCCGAGAGGATTTGACGGAATGAATGATAACTGCTAAAGGTGATAGCAATATCATGACCAGGACTGTGGCGATTTGAGTGAACTGAAGCATTCCGCATAATGCCGTTATAACTTTCAAACTTCTCAGTAGCAAAGAGAGTCGCAGGCCCATAGAGTCGGATAGATTCCGGAAGATGCAGTAACATGTGAAATTTTGGTTTATTAATCCACTGAGCAGAGGATTTGATGATATGGTATAGGAAAGTGTCAATTCGGATCTTCAATTCAGATAAAAATTCATCCATATCTGTGATGTGAGTCTGGAATACTAGCGGTGCCAGATGACAAAGAGCATGCCAGATGTTTTTTCGGGGGCCGTCCATGAATTGAAAGAATAAGAAAGGAGCTGCTTGAACTATGACTTTAAAATCTTTCCCAATTAAACTAGAGTAGTATTTGACAAGACCGACGGGTTTGAGTGAAGGTATGTTCAAAGCATCGGTTTCGAATGATCGCCATAGTCCAATAAGTTCATCCTTTTCGGTAGGTTTGAGGCTATTCATGAAATCACGAAAAAGGTATTTTACCATACCAAGCAAGAAGACATGCAGGATTTCTACCGGAGTATGTATTGTCCCGTCAAATCCTGGAATTACAACCACAAGAATCAGTTTTTCTACTTCAGAGAAAGGGGTTATATCAAGAGGAACCTTAACACCTTCAAGTTCTGAATATGGGTTGAATAAATCTGTTGGGTCATTTTTCTCTAGATCAACTATGTGTTGTGGAATTCCTGACTTTAAGTGATCCGGAATCGTTTCTTTATTCTTTTTGAGCTTTTTCTTGAGTCTTTTAGATTGGTAGATTTCGGAGGCAAAGTGGCGATTAAGTTGATCTCGAACACCACACTTGATTGAAAGTTCGTCTGATTTTTTTTCACTCTTTTTCTCCTTCGCCAAATTCCAGATTTTTTTTGAGTCTTCAATCATTTGAGGCCAATGCCGGTGCTTATTAGGGCTCTGTTGAACAAAGTCAAAAACACAATTAGCCAACATCACATAAATAAAATATAAGAAATTTTGCAAGCCTCTGTTCCATGTGAACTCATTTGCAGAAACTCTTGCAAGTACTTCATGGTGACTTTTTCCAGTAAGCTTGGAGCCGATAACACACAAAATCGGCAAGGGTTGAGAGCAGCTGAAGGAACCGGAGTACTCGTGACCTCGGCATGCATAGGGGAGTCTCCAAGGAAGGAAAATACTGAGGTCATTACCAAGACCTCCTCAGACAGGCTAACATCATATGCATCAAATCCTTCACTAGATATTTTGCTACAAAAATTGTCAACACAGATCCCAACAGATATAAACATGCTGCAAATGCTTACTTCATCTCCGGGACAATGATCTGCCCCATTTCAAGAGCGCTGGCTGTGTTTGATGTGCACAAGAAGTGGCAATTGAATTCTTGGCTGGAGTTTACTGGAGGAAGTCCGGACAAGGTGAAATAGTAGGAAATGTGTTTGTTCCATTGCTTTGAAACATTTCCTGACGTATCATCGCAGTACAAGTTGATAGGGGTGTGTTATGGGTGTTCTGGGGAGAGCAGGAAGGGATCTCCAGGGTTCTGGTTCTTGATGGTAGATTGCAAGATGAGGAATGTACAAGGTTCGGATCTCGAACGAACTCCAAGTTCGAAGTTCGTGACATGTACGTAACAGGCTCTCTACATATGTAATGTCCCCAGTTCCAGTCCTCCACAGCTCATAACACTATCCCCCCTTTAATGCCCAAGCCGCCCCCGTTGTTGCTCTAGAAAAAAAATTTAACTATGGATAAAAAATAAAAATAAAAAAATTTCCTCCTCTTTTGGCTCTGCATTCTTTCCCTGGGCAGCGTTAAAAAACCCAGTGGGAAAAAGCTTGCCCTCTCACTTCATTCTCCGTGACCTCTTGTGTCTTGACGCCGCATCCGGAAACTTGATGTTGAATTCGGCGACCAGTTCTCGACAGTGTTCCAAGTTGACCTCGGGTTCCCACGAGTTCTCCTCCGGTCCAAAGCCTTTCCAACTGACCAAGTATTCGACCTTCCTCCCCCTTCTCCGACAGTCCAGTACGCCTTCCACTTCCCACTCCTCCTCATTGTTGACCTGTACTGGTTCTGGTGATGGATGGCGCCTTCCAGCGATGGTGTCCGGGTTGTGCTTCCGCAGTACTGAAACATGAAACACCGGGTGAACACCCTGCATGGATAATGGCAAAGTCAGCTTGTACGCAGATTGGGATATTTTCTTAGAAATTTGGAATGGTCCCAGCCATCGGTGGTCCAGCTTGGGGCTGGGTCTTGTTGTCGAAATATTCTTGCTGTTCAACCAAACCTCCTCGCCAACGTTCCAAATTGGGGTGTCCTTTACTCCTTTGTCGAATTGGGTCTTCATCGATTCTTGAGCTGCTTCTAGACATAACTTGAGTTCTGCCTGGACTTCATCAATTTGTTTGAGTCGCTCTTCAACCGCCGGTAGACACTGTTCACTTGATGGGATCCCGCCGTATGAAGGATTGAAACCGTAGTTTGCCTTGAACGGTGAGACTCCAATTGAGACGTGATCATTGTTGTTGTACGCAAATTCTGCCGTCGCCAAAAGGGGTTCCCAGTTGTCCTGTCGGTACTGAACAAAGTGCCGTAGGTACTGCTCCACCGCCTTATTTGCAATTTCGGATTGTCCGTCAGTTCGAGGGTGGTAGGCAGTCGAAGGGTGGAGCCGGATTCCAAGTTGTTTGTCCAATTCTTGTGTGATCTGAGAGATAAAAACACTTCCTCTGTCCGAGACGATTGTCTTTGGTGTGCCGTGGAGTTTCCAAACCTGTTTCAACATAAGATCTGCAAGCTGTTCAGAGTTCATGGACTTGTTGCAAGGAAGGAAGTGGGCCATTTTAGTCAGTCTGTCAATCACAGTGAGAATGCTGTCGCAATTGTTGGATAGGGGGAGGTCTGTTATCAAATCATAGCTGATGTCCGTCCACGGGCCTGCAGGGATGGGCAACGGTTCCAACGTCCCAAATGGTTTCTGGGTTGAGGATTTGACCCGAAGACAAGAGTCGCAGCCGTCCACGTAGCGGTTGACAAAGCTTTTCATGGATGGCCACGTGAAGCTGCGGCGTATCAGCGAGAGCGTTTTTGATCTTCCTGGGTGTCCTGCTAACTTGCTGTCATGGCGGCTCCTCAGAATTTTGGTCTTGAGGTCTTCATTCCGGGGTACTTCAATCCGTCCGCTCCTGTAGAGCACCCCGTCCTTCACCGAGTAATGCTTGGTGGCCTCCTTCATTCGACTGGACACTGGGTTCTCACAGGCTAAACGCAATTCGGTCAGTCTGGAATCAGATGGAGTCAGAGAT